TTCTTTACATCGCGCACACATAAGTACGAACTCCGATGTCAAGTACATTATCACATAAGTATGGTGTATATAGATATATATCGGATAAATTGCAGGAAAAAAAACTGCGTGCTCGCTAACGCGTCATTGGTTAATCATAAGTACAGAGTAATAAACCGCATTTTTATCGCGAACGATATAAACGCATAATGCATAAAACATACGCGGGTCGGATGAAAAAGCTTCCCCGCGACTCGCAGGGAGAAAAATGGGAATTTAAAGCGTAAAAATTGTACAAGAAAGAGGTGGCAAATAGATATAAATGAGCGACAATTGGCGAAACTCGAATATTTAATTTCGGAAAAGACGACGAGTCGGCCACACACGCGTCTACGTTTAGTCCGGCGTTGAAGCGAGAGCATTTTACAAATATTTGATCTGCAATCAGAAGGATCACGAGTCGAATTTCCGGCATAAGCGGCGATGATCGCTTTATTGTCGGCGATCGTCCATATGCAGACACATAAGGGAATTGCATTCTCGTTACGTATGCACGGCGCACGGTCGAGCGTTCGGCCCGAGCGCTGTCATTATCGTCGCGATTATGCATATTCAGATAAGCAATCAACACCATTGAGGCAGCGGGCAAGGGTCGCGCAGTCTGAAACGGGGATTTACTCGAAAGCTGCCGGCGGAACGCGTAGAGAAAGGATCCTGAATGTCGCCTTCCTAAAGCCGGCTACAGAGAACGTCGATAGAGAAAAGTGGTTGAAACGGCGATCCAAAGACAGAATGCTGCGGCGCTGAAAAAAAATACGAAAAAATGACCGGGACGAAAAAAATTACAACGTTTAATATTACGAATGGAAAATTCGTATCTTTCGTTCCCTTCTTTTTGGCGACCCGTGGCGATCGCAACTTCCACCGCATATGAATTCTGATCTTTTCAAAGTCCAACACGCGAATCTTTCGATTCCTGAAAACACGTTCCCGGGAGGCGACGGCGACCATAAGGACGTTTAATAACCGGGCCAACATTATCCTGGAAATTGCTTGGCGGCCGCCTGACGCGAGCCAGCCTCGCAATTTCGTCCTCGGCGAAGAACGAGCTACTAAATCCCGAGGAAAAGTGTCCTCGCCGGCGTATCGCCGTCAGTCAGATCGCATAATCGGCGATTTTTTCCCCGGAACGTAAGTAGTAAAGGGCCGCGAGAAGAGAAGACGAGAAGGCGCGAGTGGTCGTAGAGGAGAATGAAATATACACTGTGTCTCAGGTATTCTCGTTAGTTTGGGGAAAAAAGGAGAATTTTTTAAGTGTGAGGAAAATCGTCCAAATCCTTTGACGGAATATTTGTATAATTTGAACAAGAGACGTGAGAAGAAGTTTGAAAGACCCCGGAAGAGTGCGATGTATTTAAAACAAAAATCTAGAAAAATGTGATTTATTTTAACATCGAAATATACAATCACGTTTGAATTGGTAATTAAAAACAAAAGAAATTGGACGAATTGTGCTCCAAAGATCGCGAACAGACAGGAAAAGAAGTTGTTCCTTATCTACCGTTACGCGAATGTCTTAAAATCGTTCTCACTCCGCGCTTACGGAGACATTTAACGTTAAAAATTGCAAGACTGTGAAGTGGAAATTCGCTGAGAAATCTGCGACTGACGCGGGGAGCGTGCGATAGCTCGGGCACCCGGTATAATGTTTTAATTTCGCGGAAAATCTGACGATGTAATTTCTGGAATAGGGCGACGCCCGGCAATTGTTTCAGCCGGCTTTCACCCCCCTCCCCCCGCATTATTCATGAGTCGACCCCTCCTTTTTTCGCCAACAAGAAGAACGGCGGTCCCCCGCTCCGCTTCCACCGGTCTCTCCTCCTTGTCCGATCCTTTTTCCCTTTCCTTCGGAGATGATCATTTTTGTGGAGCCTTCGGTTCATAGGCAATAGTACATTCGGACATTATTAGCCTTTGCATTAACCCCAAGGGGAATCAATAATCCCATCCCTCTTACAATATAATTTTCAATTCTCGATATAAAACCTGAAAGAGTTCGGAATTATATACAAGAACGAAGCACATTGAAAAAGAATGTGTTTTATACACGCAGAGATATATTTTTAACAATTTCAACTGAATTTAACGGAGGCAATAAAAAAAGTTACGAATCTTTTCGCATTTCAATAATCCTCTTTACTAACGGAGTTGCCATAACACTATTCATTTTGTTTCAAGTACCGAGCTTCGGTATGCAATTTCACTCTATTTGCAGATACTTTCATAATGCCCTGTGAATCGTATCAGTTTCCTCTCTTACAATGGCGTGCGCGCGCATAAACGCACAATACTCCGATAAAAGATATATTAATTTACACATTGTTTGCAAACGATGGCCTTGTACCGCGTGTTTACGCGGTACGTACGCAAATCCAAATTAGTCGCGAACCAATTTTAATTGCGCTAATTGTCATAATTTCCACGGGTTCCCGGATTCGCCACCGCGGACGCCGAGGCAGCCACGCGCGGTTGCCGGAAATCGCTGTAATTCGGGACAGGGAGTGCTCGGAGGAGAGAGAATAGCGTTTTCCATCCTCCCGTAGAATTCCATAATGGTATATATCACCTCTCATAATTCCCTGGGTGACTTTATGGCCCTTTTTCCGCGAGACACAATATAAAGCATAAAAATATATGGGCCGATTCATAAATATATATACTATGGAGAAGAGCGTGTTTATGATAATAAAGCGAAATTTATCTTGCGAAAGTGCCTGAACGTATTCAAACTGTTTCTCTCGCAACGATTTTACGACAGATGTCATATTTAATTGTCTTGCCAATCGTCTTACAACAACGGCTGTATTTCACCGAGCTTGCGGGCTCACCATCCGCCATTATTCCTCCGGTGCGTGCAATTTAATTCTATCGTGTATCGCTAACGTTATATCGCACTTTTTGCGTTTTATTTCTATATACCTCATCAAATCTCGGGGGATCCTAAAGAAGCCGAAGAAGCCGCAAAGGATATCGCCTCGAGCCCTCCTTTCCTCCTTCGCATATTTCCATCGGGCAAAGGCCGGATGAAACTCCCGAGGAGGCCCATTTGCTCTGTGCACCGAGTACTTAAATCTCCGTTGCATCTCACTTGCCGAAGGGTTCTATCGCGTCTCACCCCGATTGGCAAGCTTTTATTATCCCTGCGTTTTCCTCACGTTTCTCCTTCGGTTTGGTGAAAAAATTTCTCACGCTATCCTTTTACAAAAGTTGCTAATTATCCACACTGTTACGTTACGTGGTCGTTAATTTGTTATCGGAGATGAACGTCTCTGATTAGTAACTTTGAATGCAATATCGAGTATCGATACTTGCACCCGGCCTGATAAACGAATAACGCTACCGATGTAGAGATTTAAACATTCCCGAATCAGCAGTTACCGTTGGCGAACGGCGTCTACACGCTAATAGACGTTTACGAGCGATCGATCGGCGCGCAGCTTCCTCAGCAGTTGTGACCTCGCCGAGCCGAGGCACTTCGCAACGCGACAAGTTAAATTAATAAGCCGTACATAGTCGAGAGCTCGGGCTTTATTCAGTCGAACGGCGAGAAGACGTCATAGTGCGACGCGTGGCTATTGCAATTCCCGCCAGGCTCTCTCGTTAGCGGTGCAGTTAGCAGCGTGTAGCTTCGCAAACGAGGCGAACCGCAATCCTAAAGCACCACGATTTCTCCCTTCGAGGAGAGCAGGCGAAAGGGCTGACGCGGAAACAGCTCGCACGTTGCGCGCGCCGAGTCCTTTTGGTCCTCTCGCCGCGAGATAATCAGCCCGGAAGAGCGTTCGTCCTTTCATCGCTCGTGTAAACACACGTTAACGCGCCTTTTCCGCACCGATGCGATTTTCTCTTTCGCCATAAACGGCGTTCAATTTCACGAATTAACAGTAATGAACGACGAGACGAAGAACTTCGTCTCGTAACTCTAATCGAATGATTTTTATTAAACTAAATGTCGTACGTTAAATTCAATGTGATTTCTGGGTTCGTCTAAAAAGCAGGCTGAATACCTGAGTGGACCGAGTGCACGATATGTTTGCAACCGCGCGAGTTATGATACAAATTTCTAACAATTTTTTACAATTAACTTTTGAATAAAAAGACTAACAATTACAATTTAAACAATTATTGTTGCAAACCCTACTTTCGAATTTATTTTAACGTCTGTAAAACCTTGTACAAGAAATGAAAGACATTGAAACTATACGCTCTAAATGAGAATGATTTGAATATATTGACTCGGTAATGAGTAAGATATAAAGATCCGATTTTTGACTTTGCAATTGCATTCCCCCCTGTTAAATTGGGACTTTGGAAGGTCATGATTATCTTATCAACTTTTCCTTGGAAAACATTGATTATACATTTTATTGATATATTTTTATTTTTATTCTATTACAATTCAACTAATGTATATTTCTATACAATATAATATAAAAACGTGGAGAAAATTTGTTTTTAATAAAGATCCCGGAAGATCAAGGATCAGAGAAAATACAACGTAAAATACTTTTTTCCAAAATAAAACGATGATAACTCTCATCAAGAGTAATTTTATTCTCAAATATTAATACGTAATCGTGGAGATCTTAACGATTATTTTAATATCATTTTCCTTAAATTGTAAATAATAAATAATGTAAAAGAACAAACATCTCTCTAAATAACTTTAAAATGCTGTTCTAAGTGAGACAAATTTGCAAATAACCAAATAATAAAATAATCATATAGGTTTGAGTTAAAATTGCTACATTTCTCTATAAATTTCCAATTATTAAATATAAATCGTCAGCAAACATTGTACAAATCATAGTACTCATAAATCTTAATAGATAATTATCATCATTTTCAGATGTTACGCGGTGAATCTTAAAGAAATTAAATGGCCGGTGTGATAAATAAAAATTACCTGCAGTCGTTGCCGTTGAAGGCTTCAAAGACTTGGTAAACCTTAAAAAGAAATATTTACATTCTGCATTAGTTATTGAGCAATATTAATCATATAATTTTGCGTAAAGGTTAAGAAATAAGTAGCAAATGAAAATATTACAGCATTCATAGATCTTGGCGATAAATACAGGGTGCGCCGTTAGAATCCGGACAAAAAGTTTTATGCAAAAAGTTGTTTATTTAAGCCAATATACAAAGACACAAAAAATACTGTTATATCTCATTTAAAGGATCCTTGCTGAGAATTTTCATTCTATATAGCCACCCTGCGCCTCTATCACCTGCTCGATCCTCGCCCTAAAGCGCGAGCATGCTGTCTTCAACTGGTCGCGGTTCATGGCCGCGAACTATGCCTCGATAGCGGCCCGGAGGGAGTTGACGTTGGGGTGCCTGGACTTGTTGGCTTGTCTCTCGACTACGCCCCACACGTAGTAGTCCAGAGGGTTTAGGTCGGGACTGTCAGGAGGCCAAAAGTCCTTCGACCAAAACATGTCAATGTTGTCAGAGAGCCAATTTTGGACTAAATGGCTCGTGTGAGCGGGTACACCGTCTTGCTGAAAGATATACGACCTCCTACAAGCTACAGTCTCCATCCACGGCTTTACCACTGTCCTCAGGACCTCCAAATAAACCTCCTTCGTGATCGTTTCACCCTTCTGGAAGAAGTGCGGCGGCATAACATCGCCCTCACTTGAGACGACGCTCAGGACGTGGATATTGGCCGGAAACTTGGTCTTGCCCACCACAGGGACGTCCTCGGAGTTATGGGCGAGCCAACGGTCAATTCTCCGATTCACTTTGGTATCCATGGTGAAAATTTTCTCATCAGAGAAGAATTTAATGCGGCCAGCAGCTTCGTGTTTTAACGAGCACAGAAGCAAATTGCAACAAGCAAGTCTTTTGAGCTTGGCGGCCTCGGAGAGCATCTGGCGGACCTTGAGGACGTAGGAGGTATATCTGAGATCCTCTTGAACGATCCGACGAACGATCGTTTCACTCACCCTCAAGACGGAGGCCAATTTCCGGAGCGAGATCCCCGGGTCTTCCAAAATCATGTCTTGGACTCTTCGGATGAGCTCTGGAGTCCTTGTTGATTTCTCCCTAACTTGTATTTTCCTCGCCGGAGAGGAAGAGTCCTTCTCGGACTCCTCTGAGACTGTGTATCTCTTTGCAACATCGTATACCGTCGATCTTGGGTATCCGAAGAATTTTATAATTTCGGCCGGCGTTCTCTCGGCGCGAAGACTTTCTATAATCGCCGCTCTTCTATTATACTCCACGCTTTGCTTGACGAGCTCGGCCATTTTGAGGTTATAAAAGTCTTTTAGCACCAACTATAACGCCTACCCCTGAATTCTAATATAACGAGAACTTTAAATTCAATTTTGTCCGGATTCTAACGACGCACTCTGTAGAAACATTTTAATTTGAAACAAAGTCCAAAATATATATAAAGCGACATAGAAAAAAATATATACCTTTGTTTAACTTGAAGATACTGCCTCGAGATACTACCTCCTTCGAAATTTGCAGGCAACCTAAATAATAAAATAACTGTATTATTTAACATTCCTACTTTCTAAAATGTTAGACTAATTTAAGTAATGATCAGTCAGTAAATACTATGTAAATCATGGTGTTCATAGATCTCGATGATTACTCATCATCATTTTCAACGTTTGCGTAATAAAGCAAAGTTCCTCTTCAACCAAACCCAAATATTGCATCAAAAGGGAGAATTTTTAAAAGCCAAGACACACTTATTTCACAGAATACAATTTTTTAATTTAAATTATACGCTTGGTAAGATATACTAATTAATTGTATCCTTTTTAGAAACGTCTTCTCAGTCGAAAAAAAAGAAGTTTCTGCGATTGTGACACACAACATTGGCTGCAACTACTTCAAAATAAAAGTATTAATGACAAATAATTGTTCGGTTTTCTTTTATTTGCTACTGAAGGATTGTTATTTTTTAAATGTTTGGAAAAAATAACGGGTTTATGAATTTTTTTAAATGGGAAACCAACGACACTCTCACTCCTCTACGATCGGTTACTCCGAAAGCATTTAAAAGCAATACTGCAAAATTCTTCCGATTTAATGGATTAGGACTTACATTCTGGAAATTGTTTTGTTTATCCGAGTTACCGCTGCAGTAAATAAACGACACGTTCCCGCACAGATAATAAGTTACACGTACATAACATGCCGTGACAATCTTTTACAAAAAATATTATACTGCGAAGACGTTCGATAATTCAGACTACGTCACGATTGTAAAGTATATATTCTGATGCGGCAGATTATCGAGAAAAAACCCAATGACAAAAACCAAATTATATACCACGTGCACCAGCAGGAAGAAAGCACGACCGCGCAAAGACGTTCACAGGCAACGAGTGTGAACGAGTGGCAGCAAGAAGTGAGAGAATTGGTAGATCTCTCAAAATGGCGGGAAGAAACCCGATTCACGGACGTAGGAAGGAGGCACACTCGTATTAGAGATCCTCAAGGAAGAGATGCGCAACCTTAAACGCGACGGGATTGGTTCTGGCCGACTTTGCAAGAATATGGCGGCTCGCGCGGCTCGCTAGTGCGCGG